GAGGAATCACCAAGATCAAGCGTTGAAGGCTCAGACATCGAAGAAGGCGTATGATGAGAAACGCAAAGGCAAATGGAAAAGTAAAGGCAAGGCTAAAGGGGAATCTTGGTCTTCTTCAAGAGATGATGATCACAAAAGTGGTTCTTCACAGCAACGTGGTGGTCATGAGAGGAATTCTGGCAAGAATAAAAGGGTGGACAAGAAGAAAGTTGAATGCTACAATTGCAGGAAGATTGGTCATTTCGCACGAGAATGTCCAAATGGTAGAAGTGAACAGAGAAGGGGTGACAATGAGGCCAATGCAAATCATGAGGATTCAGATCAAGAAGCCTTGCTTCTCATGGTAACCACCATCTCTAAAGATTCTTCTATTTCTGTAAATTCTAAATCAAACTTGTGGTATTTAGATACGGGTTGTTCTAATCACATGACTAGTCATAGAGAATGGCTAATTGACTTAGATGAAACTAGAAGAAGCACAGTTAAGTTTGTTGATGACAGAACACTTGACATAGAAGGGATTGGAAGTGTTGCAATTCATAGAAAGGATGGTAGAACTGCAATAATAGAAGATGTGTTGTATGTGCCTGGAATGACTTGCAATCTGTTGAGTATTGGCTAGCTGATTCAGAAAGGGTTCAAGGTCATTATGGAGAAGAATTCTTTTGATCTGTTTGATGCTAAAGGAAGATTGATCTTGAAGGCTCCACTTTCAGAAAATAGAACCTTCAAGGTTAACATTAAAGCATCTGAGGTTCATTGCTTGAAAGCCTCAGGATCCTTACAGGGCAGGGAGTCAGATTGGTTGTGGCATGCTAGATTTTGTCACTTGAATTTCAGAAGTTTACACCAGCTGGGAAGTGATGGTATGGTCTTGTGATTACCGACAACAACGATCCCAGAGAAGATTTGTGAGACCTGCTTTACAGGGAAGCAGACAAGGAAATCTTTCACTGTTGAGTTAGCCATGAGAGCTAATGATCTTCTTGGGGTTGTTCACTCTGAAATTTGTGGACCCTTTGAAGTTAATTCACATGGTGGAAATAGATACTTCATCACTTTTGTGGATGAATTCAGCAGAATGTTATGGCTATTTCTCATTAAAGCCAAGAATGAAGCACTTGGTGTGTTCAAGAGATTCAAGGCAGAAGCTGAGAGACAAAGTGGTAAACTTCTGAAGGTGTTTAGGACTGATGGTGGTGGAGAGTATACTTCACATGAATTTGAAGAATTTTGTTCACAAAGTGGTATTCAACATGAGAAGACTGCACCCTATACTCCTCAGCACAATGGCTTGGCTGAGAGGAGAAATAGAACTCTACTTAACATGACAAGAAGCATGTTGAGGGAGAAGCACTTGCCACAAGAGTTTTGGGGGGAAGCAGTTTCCACAACTTGTTATATTCTAAACAGATGCCCTACAAAGAGATTGAAGAAGCAAGTACCACTTGAGGTGTGGACAGGAAAGAAGCCCTCTGTTAGCCATTTGAGGATTTTTGGGTCTTTATGCTTCAAGCATGTACCTGATCAGAAGAGGAGGAAGCTCGAAAGCAAAAGTGAACCAATGATTCTTATATGGTATCATCCAACAGGTGCATATAAATTTTTTGATCTTGTGAAAAGACAATCTTGTTTTAGCAGGGATGTTCATGTTGTAGAAGATGAGCACTGGGACTGGAGGTTGAAACAAACTAGTCTCAACAAGGATCACATTGCACCAGAGATGCTTGAAGAACAAGTCACTGATGGAGAAAGTGAGGAGCAGCTACCTGCAATACAAAGACAAAGACAAAGACAAAGAAATCTACCTGCCAGGTTCAATGAATTTGAAATGGCAAGTGATGTTGACATTTCTGAGGAGGGTGAACTAATCCATTATGCACTTATGGCAGATTCTGAGCCACTTGATCTCAATGAAGCCTTGAAGCAATCAAAGTGGAGATTGGCAATGGTCGATGAGCTTAAGGCAATTGAGAGGAACAAGACTTGGGAGTTAGTAACTCTACCTCAGAATAAAGTTCCAATTGGAGTTAAATGGGTGTATAAGCTAAAGTTGAATCCTGATGGATCAATAGCTAAACACAAAGCAAGGTTAGTTGCTAAAGGGTTCTTGCAGAGGCATGGACTGGATTATATAGAAGTTTTTGCTCCTGTGGCTAGGATGGAGACAATTAGAGTGGTTGTTGCTATGGCTAATGCAAGGCAGTGGAGTTTACATCAGCTGGATGTAAAATCAGCATTCCTGAATGGTCCATTGGATGAGGAAGTTTATGTAACACAACCACCAGGGTTTGAGATCAAAGGCCAAGAGCACAAAGTCTACAAACTTAACAAAGCACTTTATGGACTCAAGCAGGCTCCAAGAGCTTGGAATAAGAGAATTGATAGCTTCTTGGAGCAGCTGAAATTCATTAAGTGTTCAGTGGAGCATGGAGTCTATGTGAAGAAACAAGGAGATGAGCACATCATGATCATTTGCCTCTATGTTGATGATCTGCTAGTGACAGGATCAAATGTGAAAGACATTGAAGCATTCAAGATGGTTATGAGCTTAGAGTTTGAGATGACAGATCTAGGTGAGTTAACCTATTTTCCGGGAATGCAGTTTACTAGAACATCACATGGTTTACTTATGCATCAAAGTAAGTATGTGAGTGATATCCTTAAGAGGTTCAATATGGCTGGTTGTAATCCAGTGAATACACCTGCTGAGGTAAATGTCAAGATGAGAAGAAGTGATGTTGGTGAAGCTGCAGATCCTACATTGTTCAAGCAGATTGTAGGGTCATTGAGGTTTCTGTGTTCAAGCAGGACTGATATTTGTTATGCAGTGGGTCTTGTGAGTAGATTTATGAGTGATCCCAAGCAAACTCATATGGGAGCTGCTAAAAGGATACTAAGATACCTGCAAGGAACTCATGATTTTGGAATACTGTTTCCAAATCAAGCTAAGTCTCAAAAGGCATTGCTGACAGTTTTTTCAGATTCGGATTATGGAGGAGATCTGGATGAGAGAAAGAGCACATCAGGGTATGTGTTTAGGTTCTTTGGAGCTCCTATTTCATGGTCTTCAAAGAAACAATCTGTGATAGCATTGAGTTCTTGTGAGGCAAAATACATTGCTGGTTCATCTGCAGCTTGTCAAGCATTCTGGTTAGATGAATTGTTGAAAGCTTTGCAGATTGAAGTGGAGAAGCCCTTGAAGCTGTTTGTTGATAATGTTTCTGCAATAAGCTTAGCCAAGAACCCTGTGTCCCGTGGGAGGAGCAAGCACATCGAGGTGAGGTTCCATTTCTTGAGGGAGCAAGTACACAAGGGAAGGCTAGAGCTGGAGTATTGTTCAACAGAAGAGCAGGTTGCAGATGCATTTACCAAAGCGTTGAAGGTTGATCGTTTTGACAAGATGAGGAAGGAGCTTAGTGTGGTATCACTAAGGAGTTTGAATTAGAGGGGAGTGTTGAAAGAATAATTCAACTACATTGATCAATGACTGTAATAAGAAATAAGGACTGATTGGTTAGTTTGTTAGATAACCAATTATAGTTAGTTTTCTAATAGTTTGTTACATTGCTTTAAATAGCAAGTCTGATTGTAATAGTTAGTTAGAATGGAAAATAAAGAATTACTCATTCTTCCCAATCTCTGAGTTCTCTCTCTATTCCTCTCTCCCTGTTCCAACAAATCAGACATAACCAAAGCATATGAATTACTTGGCTGAGAATCAAATATTAATATTGTCTCTTTAGCTAACTAAATATCCTTATTTTTCTACCTAGTTTAATGTAATATTATATAGGATATAATATTTTTATAAAAATCGTGCAAGATCATTATTCCCAAAGTTTATAAACAATTACTTCTGTTGTTAATAGTAAATATAGCAGTTTTGATGGACAATTGCATAGCAACATCAACCATTTTTCTCACTCCTTCAAAATTTATAAATTTTTATAAAGTTTGTAGAGTTAAACTTCTATTATTGAAATTTTCCTAGATAAAAAGATAGAGAAAATATTCATTAAGAATTAAAATTTCAAGATTATATAGAATATAAATATTTATTTAGAACTGAAATTTGACAGAGAACTGTCATACACATTAAATTTGTAAAAATTATAAATATAATATAATAAGAAGAATTTAAAACTAATATTTAACGGAAAGCTGTTATAAAATTTAGGTTTGTATAAATTGACTAATATCTAAAAAAGTAATGTTATTTAAACTAGAAAAATAATTTATTCAAATTTTTAGTTTTAAAATTAACTCATCCGAATTCAACTGAGTTTTGTTAACTTATTTGAATTCACGGATAAATGTGAACGTATTTATGAAATACCATTTGTAAATCGATCATTTTAATATCTATCTTTTAACTATTTATTTTATTGCTGATATATATATAATTAAAGTTATAAATATGATTATAAATTCATTATAAATACAAATAAATATTTAAAAATTGAGTGAAAAACATGTAATCTGAATTTTGATTTAAAACAGTATTTGATTCAAAATAAATTAAATTTTGATTGAGTTATATTAGTTTATCTTTAATATATATAAATGAACTTTATAAATCAAAATTAAATAAATACAATATAAATCCAGTCGGAACCGTAAATAGCACGAGTTACAAAAATCAATCTAATATGTAAAAAAAATCCTTGAATTGAATTTTTTTAAAATTTCTAATTGGGCGAACAGGAATTCAGAATAGCAAAGCCTCCACGTGAGCCCTAGCCCAAGATTCACGAGACCAAACTCACCGGAACACCACCCTCACGGCCCGTCATCCACGCCAAATCGCCGGAGAAGTCATCATCAATCGTCAGAGCATCCGTGTAATTCAGTCTCTTTCATTTATACTGATTGGGGTTTCCGGGGATAAAGCTTGTCCGGTAAACGGAGCCACTGAAACTCCGGCAGGGAAAATTCTCAAAGTCTCCATCGTTTGTTTTCCAATTCAAGCTCAATAAAGTTTGACAGGAAACCTAGAAATGAGCTCAGGTATTCGTTACCGGTTTCTCTTTCATTTTCCCTTTCCTCTATTTGATTTGATTCTAAAATGGCATTCTCTGAAACTGTTGTTATAATTAGGTGGTGCGTTTGGTGGAAACAGGGGTCTCCGTCCTGTGCCTCCGGAAAAGGGAGTTTTCCCATTGGATCACATGCATTTGTGTGACCTGGTATGCTTCATCTTCCCTCAATTGGATTTAGATTTATGCATTTATTTATATTTCAAACAAGTAAGGAGCATGCTAGTTTTTTCTTCGTAATTCCGAGCTAGTTTTTCATAGATAGGTTTAGTTGGGAGTTTGGGGACAGAATTTAAGATAAATTATGCTATATTGTGGTTATATAGTAAGACACTGTGGCACACTTAATTCTAGAAGTGTTTGTGCTTCATAGCTTGATGTCATAGCTGTAATTTGTTGCAATGTCTAAACGTGCATTTACATGTGTTTAATGCCAAAGCAAACAGACAATAGATTGTTTTGTCATATTTTTTCAGTTTGTCAAATGCTATCAGTTTATCTTGTCTATCTTGTACCTTAATTCCTTATCGCCTCATTTCAGGACAAGAAAGAATATCTCAATTGTTTAAAAACTGCTGGAAGCAAGTCTGAAATATGCAGAGAATTCTCAAAAAAATATTTGCTATGTCGTATGGAAAAGTGAGTTGGCTTCCCTGCACTACAGACATAGTTATCCTCACATTTGTGATATACTTGTGTTTTTCTCTTACAGGGTACCATATTGGTTTCAATATTCAGTGTTAAACAAACTACTCCACAGCTCAATAGTGTGTGTAGCTTGATGAATAAACAGAGCTGTAAAATAATTCAAGTCTCTTTAGTGGATTTGAATTGATAATTTTGAACTTATTGATCTGATCTATTTGAGTAAGCATTACAGTTTTGACCATGGAATTGAATAAAACAAAATACACAGACAAACCAACAGAATTTCTTGATTACCTATATAATATACCAAAATGAAAAATTGCTGGAGTGAAGAGTCATAGATGAGTCAGAACAGTTACATATTTAGGTATAACACGGAGGAATTACTCCTGTAGCTCCAATGGCATCCATTATTTATCCAATTGGCAATTTTGAAATATTTTAGTATCTTCAATGTTTTCCTAGGGATCTCTATTGATCTTATAGGTCTGAGAACCTATTGTAGTTGTTGTTTGCTTTGCATAGAAGCTTGGCAAGATTAGGAGCACAAGTCAAATGCTAATTTTATACATATTTTCATTAAATCTCATCTATTTTGTAGTGAAGTTTGCAGTTTTAGTGAATATCTTGATCCGTTTTTTTATTGGTTGGAAATTATTGATTTATTATTGCTGTTGAAGTTCTTTGTGGTATGCATGGCTTTAACGTTTTTCTTGACTGGTTTTTTTCATCACTGCTTATCTATGAACTATCTAATTGACGTCTTGCAGGAACTTGATGGCAAAACAAGATTTGGCAGAACTTGGTTTTAAGGGAAGTAATGCAGAAACTCCTGGAGGGAAAATTCCTGAGAGGATTGGGGATCAAGACCAATGAACCTACATAACTTAGAATGTATATCACTTTTGGGGTTAAGTTTTGGTAATGCCATTCAGTTTATTTTGATAGGCAGATGTCTAACCATATAATAATAACTTTTTTTGCAATACATTAGTAATTTGTACATTTGAAAATTTACTTCACCTTTTTTTTTTGAATGAATTGAAACTTTACTTAATCTATTGTTTTAGCAGCTATCAAAATGTATAAGCCATTTTTGGTAACTTTTGCTGCCTAGTTCATCCTAATATTTTATTTATATTAAAGTAAATGTGATTGCTACTATGTGGTAGATCCCTTCCTCTTATTCTTCAGAGCGATTGGAAGTTGTAAAACAAATAAAGTAATCATTTTTTGAGTTTAATTGAGTCTTTGACATTTGGGTCAGTGCCTATTCAATCAAATAAAGGAGGGGGCCATACCACAATCTGTGTTGTCGATGTGCTCACGGCGAGCTGAATAGTAGTGATCGTTGGATCTTTTGTTCTTTTGGCAACTTAATTTCTTGGCTTTTGGCTGGTTGTTTTAATTTTCTAAGGCCTGGTTTGGCGCTGTGCTGAGGTTTTGATGCGTTTGGCTTGTGTCGCTGCAGGTATGGTTTTGATATTTGTCTTCTGTGGCAATTTAGGCTAGTTTCCAGATTTTTTCCTACTATGCTGCTCTTTGAGTTTTTGGCTACTGTCCACTCTGTTTTGGCATCACGAATAGTAGACAAGTTTGAAACTAGTAAGGGTGCAGCTCTTGATTTTTTGTTGTTGGCCCTTGTCTTTGATTTTTTTTACCTTGGTCCTTTTGGTTAATTGTAATTTGTTGATGGTATTTGTCATCTTGTTTCTTTGCTCATAATCCATGTGTTTGTACTGATTCTATCAATGTATTATTAGACTATTACACACATATCTCTATTATTCTGGAGATACATATTTGTTGCATAGTATTTAATGGATTTTTTGTTATGCGTTTCAGTGAGTTCTTCGGAGATGTATGTCTGAATATTTGAAGCGGAAATTTGATTATCTATCACCTTTGCATGTCAGATTATTCCAGAGCTATATCTCTGAAAAAATCAAATGTAAAATTGTTAAAAACAACCTCCAGCATGATGAGGCCCCATATTCATTTTTCCCCATAAACCCTTTCATATTGTCGATCAAGATTTTCATTCTGTAACTTCATTTGTGTTTCATCAAATCCAAAGGAGCAAGAAAAGTTGGAATTCAAGATAAAGTTCATTTATTTCAAGCATCATTACTCACATTAATCATGTTTTAAGGTGGAAAAAAGTTATGTTGTATCCGATAATGTATTTTCGAAATCTGTATAAATTCATCTAGAGATGTGTTTCTGGATGTAAAAAAGTTATGTTGTATCCGATAATGTATTTCTAAAATCTGTATAAATTCATCCAGAGATGTGTTTTCATATGTTGTCTATTTTCATTTTCCAACACTCCGTTTTCAATATTACCTGTTATTGAGTATTGTATGTTATTTTTTTTCTTAGATATGGTGCATCTCAATGTTTTTCGAGAATCTATTGTGTCTTCGGATGGAAAATGTGTTGTTGTGAAGGAGGTAGGTGTTGGCAAACAATTTAGTAATGAACAAGAGTTTGAATTTCATGATCACTTGCTTTAATGGATTTCTACAGAGGTATCCAAACTGAGGTTTAGTGTTGTAATTGTAAGATTACATAATGGTTTGGATATAATAGGTGCATTTGCGACATTGACATGCGAAAGAAGTGGGAAATATATATCTCCTCTCCAGAATTTAAAAAGAGATTATCGATACAAGAAAATGTGAGTGTCCCTTTAAGTTGCATGGTTATCAGTTGACAAATAACAAATGAAGATTTAATATGATATGTGGTTTAAATAATCATGATTTGTGTGAAAAATTAGTCGGTCATCCAATTGCATGTTGCCTCATGGCGGAAGAAAATGATTGCATTTCAGACATGACATTGAATTTGATACAATCGAAAAACATACTTGCAACTTTGAAACATAAAAGACCCGAAAATATCACAAATATTAGGCAAGTGTACAATATTCGCTACCAAACTAACAAAGCACCGAGGGGGAATAGAACTGAAATGCAACACCTCTTGAAACTTTTAGATGATAATAAGTATGTATCTAGGTATCGAACGTGTGAGGATGGTGTAACCGTTAGAGATATATTTTGGACTCATCCCAATTTCATAAAGTTGCTCAACATGTTTTTTACTGTGCTCATCATTGATTCAACGTATCAGACCAAGAAATATTGGCTTCTATTATTGAAAATTGTTGGTGTTACCTCTAGTGAGAAGACTTATTCTGTTGAGTTTACATTTCTAGAGAGCGAAGAAGAGGAGAATTTTACTTGGGTTTTAGAGGTTTGTCGGGCAATGATGAAGAACCAAGAAGACATGTTGAAAGTAATTGTTAGTGATCGTGATAGCACTTTAATTAATTTGGTTGCAAGAGTATTTCCTACTTATTATGCATTACTTTGTAGGTATCATATAACAATAAATGTTAAAAGTCGGGTTAAATCCGCGGTAGGGACAAAAGGAGATAGAAGGAGAAGATGGAAAAATGGTCAAGGCGGGCGTCGTAGTGGAAAAATAATGGATTCATAGAATGTTATAATAAATTCTTTTACAAAAGAGTTATATGTGGATACTGTGAGAAATATCTAAATTTATTGAAATATGATGAAAGTATTATTTTGAACCAGAATAACAGAAGATTATATGTGTTTGAAACACCTTGGAAATGATCGGCAAAAATATATTTGCTTATAAAAAGAAGTAAATTTTATTATTTTTAATAAATTATTATAAAATATTATACTTACTTTCTACTTTAAATTATTATATGATCAATTTTATTAGAAATAGTAAGAATTTTAGTTCAATTTTCAATACGTTCATATTAGACGTGCACTTTGGTTTTTCTTAGTGTAATTTGTTTCTTAAAGACAAAATAACATTAATAATATAGAATAAAAAACTAAAATAAAGTATAGACAATTGACATAAGATGTATTAAAAAGTACAACAAATTATTTTTATTGATTTTAATATTGTTGGTTTTATTTTTCTTCTCTTTTCTCTAATTGAAAGAAAATAGAGAGCGTAAATGGATTAATATGCTTCAAAAATAAATAACTGGAAGATTTGGTTTTCAAGTGCCTTGATCACTAAGATAGAGTCATGTTGGAAATTCCTTTTTCGGAGATGGAAATTAAGGACGCGTAGTGGAGTTGCGACGTGAATAAGAGCGCGGAACCGAATGGTTTTTCTTTTGAGTTTTTAAAGAGATGTTGGGAGTTTATCAAAGATGATGTGTTTCTTTTTGTTCATGACTTTCATGATAGGGCGAAGCTTATTAAGGATTGTCCAACATTAATCCTCAAAGCTTATCGAAGTTTAGACCCATATGTTTAGTGGGTTGCCTTTATAAGCTTTTGGCCAAGTTGTTAGTGCTAGATTGAAGAAAGTTGTGGGGAAGTTGGTGTCAAAGAATCAATATGCTTACATAGCGGGTAGGAATATTTTGGATGAAGTCTTGTTGTTTAATGAAGTTATTGATTTGATTAAGAGAGAGAAAAGGAGTTGCTTAGTTTTGAAGGTTGACTTTGAAAAAGCGTACGATTGTGTGAGTTGGAACTATTTAAGGTTCATTTTGGGTAAAATGGGCTTCGGGTATAAGTGGATCAAATGGATGGAAGCATGCGTTTTCACCAGCACCATGTCGGCACTAGTGAATGGCAGTGTGACTAAGGATTTTGTGGTCGAGAAGGGGCTAAGGCAGGGGGACCCTTTGCCTCCGTTCTTATTTGTTCTGGTTATGGAGGGGCTAACTTTCTTGGTTAATAAGGCGGTTGAAACTGACGATTTTAAAGGTTTCTCAGTCAAGCAAGTAAATAAACCCAAAAAAACCCCTTAAAATAAAGCAAGCAAAGAAAACAATTAAAGCAAGTAAAAGTGATCTAAACCCTAAGGTAACCCCTCTTTTGTAATTTAATCTCCCCAGCAGAGTCTCTAGTTCAGTAATACGATAGGAGAACTGACTTTTTGGTTTTATCCAAATGTGTGGATAGCTAGAGTCGCCACCAACTTTTCTTTTATCCAATATTTAGTAAAGGTGAAAAGAACAGGAAATATCTTTGATAGATTTTGAGTTCAGAGGGGGGGGGGGGGGGGGGGGTAAGATATGAAAAGGAAAGGTGTTAGCACCCTTTTCATCCGTAGTTATCTACGGGCTCTTAATTACTTAGCTCACTTTTGAAAACTTTCTTTGTGTATGTGATTTGTTTGAAAATATTTTGAAATTGCCAATGTAAGGATGACTTTGTAATAATTCTTGTATCAATCCTCAAGAATGTATACAAAGTGTTTTTGAAAATATTTATTGTTTTGAAAGTGTGATGTGAGAAAATTTTTGTTTGACAAAATTGTGAGCAAGCAATTAAGGGTTTCTTACCCACTAAAGGCCGTTCTTATTCTTTTCCTTCTCCTTTAGAGATAGTATTGTCCATGTCATTAGTTGGTAGCTAGTCCTATCTATTGGATGTGAAGGGACATGCGAAGGGTCATCGAATGGTCATCGAAAGCAACATATGGAGATACTTTAGCAATTGCATTGGAGGGACTAGATCATTTTTTGTAGGCAACATCGAAGGGTCATCGAGGGACTATGATCTTTATTCGAGGGTCTTTTGCTAAAGTATCCCTACTTCCGAGGGATATGACCAATTATTTGAAGGCAACAAAGAGAGGTTATCCTAGAGGTGTGAGTGTGAAAAGTGTGTTCAGTTCAGTTATATTTATCTTGAATTGGGGTTTTTTGTCGATTGATTTTAGTCTTGTCATACAAACCCTAGTTACTAGCAGTTGAATAAAATATAAGAGCAGAAAGTAAAGTGCAGAATGTAAACCTAAGCTATTACATGGCTTTGGGGCAGTTACATAAGTATAAAAATGCGGGAAATAAGACCTATGCT